ATCAAGGCCGAAATGTTGGAACTAAGGGATTAAAGGCAAGTTGTGCTCAGATAAACAAGTCTGTGGGAGATAAATCTGTTGCCCTGCCAGCTGACACCGAAAGCAGTCAGCTCCAAGCTGCCATGTAGAAGATGACCTAAAAGGCTGCTCCTTAAAGCAGAAGTAGTGGCCGCTTGCATTAAATTTCTTCATCCAGTGGTAGATAATGAGAAGGCAGTTGTGTTTCCTAGGGCTCCACAATCAAATACCAAGGAGGAAGTGTAATAAACAGGCAAGAAAATGGCATAAACGATCTCTGTCACTGACACTAATTCTATGTGCTGCTCTTGACAAGACCTTTATTTTCATTTTGTTTTCTTGCACCTCTTAATTTAGAATATAAGGAAACTTTATGTCTTACATCTGTATTTTCCCACTGGTCTTTGTAACTGGCAGTTCAGAATACTGACAGATCTTCTTTAGGGCCTTTAAGTACTATTGCAAATAGCATCTAATTAATAATGATAGTTATAGATCTAATTTGCTTTACTTCTGAAAGTCTGATGATTACCTAGTCAAGCTGGGCAAATAGGGGATAATGTTGGCTGTCAATATCCGTACAACCCACCCTGTGTCCAAGATACCATTAGCTGGCTCTGGAGTTTATTGACCATTGAAGGCAGTTATTGGCTTAAAAAATGGTGACATTATTTAATAACTGCTTTTGACTCCCACTTTCCATAGTTCAGGCTGTGGTGCTAGTGCTGTTATAAGAACATGTTTGTTGCTCTCTATGCCTGAGGAGCACAGACACTGGTGTAAGTCGTGAGCGTGAACCTTGAATTCAAACATATTCTTCTTTAAAAAGGTGCTTTTGGAGAGGGTACATAGGGTTTGACTCCTGTTTCAGGGTGTGCTGTTAAATTGGTATGGGGGAACTCATATCAATGGCTACTTCTTACTGTACAATACAATTTAAGGGCGATACACTGAAAAATAAGACATGTAGATGTCCCACTATCCCACATCTCATGGCTCAAACGCCAACTAAGGCCTTATCCTTATCAACACGTTTAATGTTAACCACAGAAATAACTCAAAAAAACTTCCCTGTGCTCTCAGGCACAACTAAAGATACCCACAGGCATACCTTCTGTCATATACATATCCTTAAAACCATATTTTGGTTTGGGAGACATAAACATATGCCGACAGAGAGTAGGGCAGCTGTAGGAGTTCAGGAATTAAAACCAGATGGTGTCTGCACGTTCCCTCATATTATATATACACACACACACATAAATGCATACATACTATATACACACACACACACACGTATATATGCATTTTTATATATGTCTGTGTATATATTTATATATATATGTGCATGTACATGAATACATATATGTATAAAATAAATAAATAAATATAATTATTTATCCTCATTAGATGGACTTTGACTTTTAGCTGTAGTTCAGAGCATAATGTTCAGCATAGATCTAATTGACTTTCCAGTGGCTTAACTTATTAGCAAATTTAGATTGACGGATCAAGTCTCAAAACCTGTATAATAAAAGGTTCTGCAGGATTTTTCTTAAGTGCATTACTAGAGTCTCCGTTTTAGAAAAGGCCCATTTGATAAAATGGAAGTTTGTTTTTACAGCACTCAGAAAATTAATATTGTTGAAAATGTGAGTCCTTTCATAAGTCCTTTCAGTCCAAGCACAGTAAAATACAATGATTATTTGGCTGTATATAAACACAAAGCTCCTTTTAATATAAGGAATTTATGAATTAATACAAATATGAAAAAATATATATAAATACATTAATATAACATCCTAACTATTATTATGAGTATCATGAAATTCAAAAACAATTAAAATTCAAAAAAGTTTGAAGGGGATTGAAAAAAATTTCAGCTTAGTTTTCCCAGTTTTCTAAATATCTGCCATCATCTTCACACTAAATCCTTTGATTTCAAATTTTGAGAATCAGAAAGCCCATCTGATTTCTTTTAAATATACGGGAGTGAGAGGAATGGATTTAAAATTATTTTACAGTAAGGGCTTTGAAAAAGGACAAAACACAGAATGCTATTGATGTTGTATCGAAAAGATTCTTCTAACTATTTTGTTTTCTTAGATGCTGCCTTTCACCTTTCCTGCCTTTTCCTACAATAAATTTGTAGAAATTAACTTTTCAATAAATAATAATAAAAAAGAACACAAGGGTCCTGTGGAACTAAGCTAATCTAAACATTTAACACATTAGCAGCAGCTAAGACGTTTGCAATACATCTTTTTTTGGTTGTATTTATTTGGTGGACACTGACAAAACTATCTCATCTTTGTCCACCTCCTCCGGGCTTCCCTGCATATGATACAGCAGCACCACTCAGTGGCTTAAGGTTTCTATGTGTTTCAGCACCAGCTTGTAGTGAATATATTTATAAAATATGAATTGGCATGCATTTTGGGTGCATATTGTGGAAATGGGTAGACCTTTCTTAATATTTCCAGAAAACAAACAAACCATCAAACAAAAAAAAACAGAAAACAAACATCTCACTCCTGTTTTTCATACCTTTCCTAGAATTTGATACCCCTCCACAATAACCAGAGACTGAATAATATAATGCAGTGGATCATCTTCTCAATTTCACTTGCAGAAATGTACATTACCTATCTTGAAAAAAACCCAGCCAAACAAAAATAAACCCTGAATCCTCGTGTTGTCCCTGGGTTTTGATGCATCTGTTTCTCTTGTGGAAAGCAAACTATTATTTGAACCGCATTAATTATTTTTATTCTCCAAATTTCAGGTTGGGAAGTAGATAACTTGGGACAAACTCACGCAGGTAAGAGCGAGTCGTGCTGAACATCTTCTGTATATCGCTGTTCTCAAAAGTTCTGAGATTACTAAAAAGTTAGTTTATGTATCAATTGCAATATATGTAGTTCTCATGATAGAATTCTAACAGAAAAAAAAGGTAAAAATCTAATGTGTTTCTAGAAATCAGCATGGTCTAACCTAGAAACACAAAATTAACTATCTTGCTTAAAAACAATTAGTTATCAATTGTAACATATAGATGGAACTCGGTTTTCCTGAATTGTGTGATAAGTGTTCATACTTAAATAGCTATGGAGTTTGTTAATCCTAAAAGTAAATTTCTAGAAATGCAATGTTTTATTTTTATATTTTTATTAAAAATGTAATTTTATTAAAAATTACAGTGCTAGCTACTTGCAGCTGTGAATGTTTAGCTTACTTTGTATATTCAGCCCTGATTTAAACTCATAAGTAAAACTATGTTTACTTCCTCAAAAGATACGATCAGGATGTTATTAATATTGGACCTTGATCCAAACAAGTAAAATTCCATTTAATTCTTTTCATTGACTTCCACAGAGACTCATTTTGGTTCTAATAGCAAACGCAATCAAAACGCAATCAAAACAATTTCATGCCAAATCTTTATTTTTATAGGTGATTATGACCTGCTGGAAAGTGCAGCCCAGTCTCCCATAGGTAAGAAATAAAATCTGTGAATGTTTTTCCTTTTATTTTTGCACTTTAACATTCGAAAAACAAAATTGAAAGCTTTTTCTCCCACCATCTGGGTATTATTTTCTAATCAGTTCTAATTATGGTGACACATTTCCTAATGTGCTACTTTTAGCTGTATTATGAAAATATATTCATCAGCACTGTGGTCTAGCCAGTATATGGCTACAAAATATATCTACTTGATTAACAGGAATTACTAATGATGTTAAGGACTCAGGGCTTTGGTTCAGTGGTTGTTTTTCATAGAAAACTGGGGATGAATGTGCAAAAGTGATTTACCAAAATTTTCCAAGGTGTGCTATGTTCTTAAATGAATTTGTGATTAGAGTTGTCCTGTCTCATGGATGACAAACAGATTCTCTATAAATAAGGTCACTAACACTGTTATGAGCTACTTGACTAAATTACTGTAAGAATGTAAAGAAGCTCAACCTTAGTAAAGGAAAAAAACAATTTAACATTTATGATCAAAATATAGCCCATAAACTATTATTTCAATTAAAAATAGTCCATTGCACTCAAGAGGAATAAGCTTTAATGTTTCAAACAGACCACTGAGTGCTCATAAAAGTAATACTGGTTAAAAAGACCACCAAGAGTGGCCATACCTTAGCTGAAGTTGCTTCAGGATAGACCTATCTTCCAGATAGACCTGTCTTCCAGGTACTGCTGGATGCCCTTTTTTAGATATCCACTTGAGAATGAGATCTTTGGTGCTCTAGAAACACTGATTATATTAATTAGATCCCTTTTGCTTTCTGGCGAACAACTGTAGCAAAGGCATTTATTGGAACCTACTAGAGAAGTAGATCGTTAAAGATATCATTAAAGATTAAATATGTCATTAAAGCCTTTTATGTGTAGTCTGATAAGTTGTAGTGAAGTTTCCTTTGGCCACATTCCAAACGAAAGGGTGGTTATGACCTGTTTTTTTTCTCTTTTTGCCCAGGCTCTGATCATGTCCTGGTTTATTGGTGATTAGAATGAAACAATCAGATATAAAAAATGGTATAAATATGTAGAATCAATTTTTTAAATCTTTCCTAACTGAATACTGAATATTTCCAGAATATGAGTATATAGTGATGACATAGCTTTTGACACTTACAAGCATAGACTGGACTCTATTTCTTCCCCTATTGACTAAGGAACTCCTTAGCCATCTACTATTTTTTACTGTGGATACCTGCACAGTGGTCACAGAAATGGTAGATACCTTTTGCTGGGTGACTGCCAAATAAATTCTACAAAATGTGGACCCAAGGGTGCATCAAACATACAGCAACCCCTGTAGATAACATACAGCATGATATCAGGGGAACCAAAAGAAGAAGACAACCAGGCTGTTCAGGAAACGATCCTGTCTATGGACCCCTCTATGGACAGGGCAAAAATGATGTGACCATAGGTGAAATATTTAACCCTATATTGCTTGTCTCCCAAGGATTATTACTACTTATCCGTGAAGGCTCTGTACACGGTGGGATACAGCACATCTCTCGTTTCCCTCACCACCGCGATGGTTATCCTGTGTCGCTTCAGGTGAGTCATGATAAGAGTGGTGAGCTGTTCACTCACCAGAGATGAGAGATCAGACATAGTCATCGGCCCAAAACATTGAGGTTTTAACCTCAAAAATGAGAGGATGAAGCTCTTTACAGTGGATATTCCCTCAGGAGGCAGCCACTCTAGTAGCCACATTTCAGTAGACCACAGATGGGTTTGAGTCTATTTTATGTTATCCTCACTATTTTCTGCTGGAAAAATCCCAGATCCACTTCTGCTGGAATACCCATCAGACTACACAGGTTTAGAGTCAGTATGATCCCCACGTCTGGCTTTTAGATGTTAGGATGCTTAGGGCCAGGGAGCTCTGACCACTCAATAGCTATGCCTAGGGTGCTATTTCTGAGAAAGAAATGCCTCTTCTTTTTTTCCTGATTTTCTTTTTTCTTTTCCTTCTTTCTTTTTTATTTTTTCTTTATTTTTTCTCTCTCTTTTCCTCTCCTTTGTTCTTTCCTCTCCAGGAAGCTTCACTGCACTCGGAATTTTATCCACATGAACCTCTTTGTTTCGTTTATCCTACGAGCAATATCCGTTTTCATTAAAGATGGGGTGCTCTATGCTGAACAGGATGGTAACCATTGTTTTATTTCAACTGTAAGTAAAACTGAATTATTCCCCTTTATCTTTTCAGTATGAAATAATGAAAATAGTGAGACAGGCAACAGCCCATAGGAAATTAGAGACTGAGAAGCTCTTGAGAAGCTAGTTTATGGTAAACTTCCCTTCCCACCACTTTCCACCTCCCACCAAAAGAGCGCATGGCATAATCTGATTATATAGTATCCAAGAGTCTGTGTTTTAGGACAAACCATCAGGCTTCAGATTCTGTTTAGGTAGTTTCTTCCTTTCTCAGATCTACATAACTATAGTTTGGATGAGAGTAAAATTTCCTTCATCCCTTCATCTAGTGTGTAGATTTTTTTTCTCGAGGGACTTATTTTCTCTGAATAGCAGGAGGTCAGGTGTAAAGAGAATGACCATTCAGGCATAGAAAATAACTCTGATAGTCATAGCTACCTTTGCCAGTCTATGTATCTCTCTCTCAAAACTTTTAAGTGTGTAGATTCACAGAAAGCAGTCTCTTTCACTGGTGCACTTAACTATATTGCAATATATTGTATATTGCACATTAATCCAAACTTAAGAGTAATATTTGATCTAATAGATAGGCTTGGAACAATTATGACGGAATTGTAGTGACTTCCCGAACTGAGATCTCCTTTATCCATCCTGTTAAATTCCCCATGAATCCCTTCCAAAACAAAAGTACATCTAATTAATTTCTTAGTGTTTTTTTCTTTTCTTTCTTGGTCATTTAAACTTTTTTTTTTTTTTTTGCTGTTAATTCTCAGTGGAAAAACTGAAGTCATATTAGAGCTGAAGTCTGTTCAAATCTCTCTTCTGACCTTGTTGTTCTGAATCACCTGAAGCAAGAAACATATTAAAGTCAGTAATCTAATGGCTAGATCCTCATCTGGCATAAACTGTCAGAGCTTCTTCGAAGAAACTCGTGCTCTGATGGTTTATATTGGCTGTAGACTTGTCCCGGAGGACAGAGGACATTTGGGAACCACTCAAAATTGTCATCTTCCCACTGGCTCAGGAAGGGTCTTCCAGGCCATAGGCTGCATTGGCTGTGACACGTTGAACAGATAGTTTTGTGGGCCTAGTGATATCTCCCTGGGATGCAACACTGGAAAGACAAGCATATCCTACTCTCCTATTCTTGCAGAGTTAGGGTATAGAGTGGTTTCCACCTGAGGCTTTTCAAGTGATTTTTTTTTCCACTCCTTTGGTCTGTTGCTTTTCCTCCAGTAACCGAATGAAAATTTCCATCATTCTGTACAGTAAATCACTCTGCTTTCTTTACCCTTAATGTTCTCTTTCTTTTTCTGTCCCTGAGTGACAATTCCTGCAAATTGCACGGAAGTAAAATTCTGAACTCTGCTCAGAAGGGAGCACCCTTTATGCTCCCACTCGCAGGGCTTCCCACACTCATCTTGCCATTCCAAACCCTGCCCTGGCTCTCTGAGCAAACAACCAGGTTCTTTTCTTGTCTGCACGCAGTTCCTAGGAGAGGTCTTAAATCTAGCAATTAGCCTCCATTGTTGATGTGGACTCCCACTAATGCAAGAAGTTCTCAAGCTCTCTGCAGGCACTTGGCGACAAGCTCCCATGGATAAAAGTGGCTACAAGCCCTTTAAAGCTTCGCCATCTAAGTGGACCCTTATATTCTTCTCATGCTTTTAAAATCTTTACTATTGAAAACACATAATACCAGTCCCAACTGTGCTCTTGTGATGGATTTGGAGAGGTTGAAAGCATTTCCTCTCTCTGACAAAACAACATGGAAATAACTTTGGTTTTGCTTGGTTCCCTGCAGGTGGAATGCAAAGCTGTGATGGTTTTTTTTCACTACTGCGTCATGTCCAACTACTTCTGGCTTTTCATTGAGGGATTGTACCTTTTCACTTTACTGGTGGAAACCTTTTTCCCTGAGAGGAGATATTTCTACTGGTACACTATTATTGGCTGGGGTACGTGTTGTTTTTTATGTATTATATGTCTCGCCATTCAAGAAACTTTCTCATATCTCTTGAAAGTTTCACTGCAGGCAAAAGAATGAATCGCTGGATATTCCCACATACCATCTTCAACTATAGTTTTAGTCTTTGTATAGAAAGGGCATTGCAGACCAGAATTTATTGCGTTCCTTCACATAAGTAGATTTCAACTGAAATTCAGAGCATGGCAGACTGTATCTCTTGAAGAGATATAAAAAACAGCAGAGAATTGCCTTCTATAAGAGGCCAATAATCAAATAAGCAGTTAACAAAAACTGTTTAGACCATTTTCAAAGACTTCACTGGTGACTTTCTCCCAGCTAATATCTGAACTGAAAATATATCCAAAGAGTATCCATGTATGTTCATCGTACATGGGTAGAAATGTAAACTGGTTATGTTGCAAGGAAAAAAGATTTGTTTCAGAAAGACCAGTTCTGCCATGATAACCAGTATAACTGTTTTTTGTGGTGGGCTTCTAGAGCTAAACTGATGCCTGAAACATGATAGTTCAAAGTACACTTTGCTGATTTTTTTATGTTGTAGTCAGATGATGGATGAAGAAAAATCCATTCATTTTAAATGCATCCTAAGACACCTAAACTCAATATTTATACTTCAAAAAATTGCTTCCCAAATAATCTGGAAGTAGAAATATCATCTTATAATCCTATATATTCATGCATAAAACCTACAGAAAACCCATATCTCTTAAGCTATTCTCCTTTGAATACAAATCTTCAAATACAAATCTTCATGAAATCTGATTCTTCAAGTAACCCACAGTTGAGTTTCTTTCTCAGGTTCCAGGAAAGACTCCCTGCAAGGATTGGAAAGGGATAGAAAAGAAAGAAGAGACTGTTGATCAGAAATAACCTATGGCATATCAGAGGCTGTGGAACCTAATATAAAAGTCATTCAAACTTCCCCTTGTACTAACCACCTACAGATATATCATCACACCATTACTCAGATATAGGGCCATTTTTAGAGAAAACTTGTGGGTTATATGTATGATGTGAAAAATAGAAAAATATTACAGAAATCTTTGCAATCCAAACACAAGCTAGGGATTGTGGTTCTTGAGCTGAGTTTGCACAAATGTCTCTAGACATGCATGTGAATGTGAGAATATCGTAGCACAGAATATCAACTGAAAAAAGGATTTTTCACTCTCTGTATACAAAGAACTCCCTGGATAGATTTATTCTGTAATGCTCAAAGATTTTAGTCTGGAGCTGAATACTCTGAGTAAGTTCAAGCTATCTAGTTAAAAGTAATCAGCTTGTGTTCAAAGCAATAGTATACATTATTAGCACTAAGAGAAAAAGTGTTTTTTTTTTTCCAAAAGTGTACTTTGATGGTTTTTATACTCCTCAGTTCTCTCAGTTCCTGTGTACTTCAATTTGTATTGGAAGTTCCCCAGACTTGATAAGAGACATTGGCACTTTGGATGAACAGAAATTGTTCTGCAGTCTGCATTCAAGTTTTGAAATTATTCAGGGCAGAACTGTTCAGGGCAGAGTTGAGTTAAAGCAGCAAGAAACATAAACTCAGCAGTTTTCAGAAGCTGGATATTAACCTGTTTCTTGAAACGTGCTGTACACATCAGTGTCCACAAAAATGATTAATAGGAAATATGTATGGCTATGTTGTTGCAGACCACTTTGTCTTCCTAAATGCACAATACATTGATAATTTCATGAGGCGAAGTGCTTGCTTGCTGGGGTTTTTCATAATACCTGCTCCTTATTTGGGACAGAAATAAAGCCAACAAGAATGGCATGTTTTCTGCCACCTTTAGACTTTATAGTTTTTTTGGTGTCAGAAGTTGGAAAGTGATGTCATGTGTAAAAAAAAAACGCAACGTGAGTGTATTTAAATAGCAGATGGTCCAAAACTCCCAGCTGATCTCAAACATGCATTTTGAACAATATCATGACACAGTAAGTCTAATTCTGCCTAACTACCCATATTTCGTATTTGAAACTCCATTAGTGTCAGAATTTCCACAGTGGAAACCACTGCAAGGTAGAGGCCATGTCAGACCCATGACTGATATTTAAAGACTATTTTTATTATTACGCACCTGTTGACTGCACAAAAATCTTGATGAATTTTTAGGTGTTCTTCAATCTAAAACATGCACGTTTCCTTCCCCCAAAATTCTGCTATTTCATTTCTTTCCATCACTTTTTTTCTTTCAAACATGCCTGTGTGTTTCTTTTAAAAAGCAGGGCTTCATCTGTCATCTATATTCTTGTTTCTGATAGTGGGAAGATGAGCTTTGACAGAGACTCTCTTAAGTGTATTCAGGCGAATGACTAATTAATGTGACATCAACACAGCCTTGCAAAATGTATGAAACATAATTGTGCCTGTCAGCTTATGACAGTCGCATTCACTGCTGCAAGCTGGAGTTATCAAGGTCCCTGCTTTGTTTGTTTTTATCACCCTCATCTTTCCAGCGGTCATTGAGCAGTGATAGTCAGTTTTTTTAATCAGAGGCTTTAATTTATTGTAAAATGTAGTCTCTATTTTTTTTTTTTGAAATTTTCTATAAAAAGAATACACTCATGGTGCTTCTAGAAAGAAAAATTAATGCAGTTTTCTGAGTGTTTTTGCTGTTGTTCTTGTTCTTGTTGTTTTATTATTTATTTTATATGTATTCTACTTGCATATTTTAAAGGCTAAAGAAATCCCTGAAATGCAACAGCTTTGAGCAATAATGACCTGAAACTTCATTGTTATTTTCTGCCATCAGTTTTAGTTATACAGTCCCACCAAGATTAAGCCACCTCTTCACTGAGACACTTTTCCAGATGTGAATGGATTAACCTCATGGATTGCTTTGCTTGTAGCATGAGGGGCATCAGGAAATAAAACAACAGTGTTGTAAGGAAGCTGTTGTAAGGAAGTACCCCTTGTTGAGCAGATAAATAAATCTGGACTGATAACCATATCGCCCTCTCATATTCTGCAGGCACCCCGACAATTTGTGTCACTGTTTGGGCAGTGCTGAGACTTCACTTTGATGATACTGGGTATGTATCACCGTGTAAGAAGTCGTTTTACAAGCGGTCAGAATGATGTCAATGATGGAAGACAAGTCTTATAGATCACAGCACAGTGCTGAGATTAATTTCTCATTCCATTTCTGACATTGTTTTGGATATACACCTAGTTTAGGTGCAGTGTTCACCCCAGAGTGCTTTCTTGTTCAGCTACATAAATAGATGAAGTCCAATATTTATGTTCTTATGCCACCAGTGACCTAGCTGAAGCAGATGTAGGCACCTACAGTACAAACATGCAGCTGGCTCTCAGCTCCATCCTCATTGAAGCTATTGGAACCCACTACATGGTTTTTCTTATCCTAAATAAGCTGTGAGATGTAGCACACCTGTGTTTGTCTCCTTCTCTCCAAGTGAAGAAAGCTGTCAGTGATGAACTCAGGTATAGGAATCATTGAAGGTAGCTCTGAGGATGTGAGTGAATGCTACACAAGGAGTTCTGAGCTTAAATTTATGAAGGGGATTGGGAGTTTAGTCTGCAGGTCTGCAAAGATCCTCTATGCTTTCCTGAAAGACCTGAAGGAAAGGCTTCTACCAAGATGGTCACACACATGCCAGGATCCTGAGTGGTATGACAGAACAGCAGACATAGCTGCTAGGAATCAACTTATAAATATACCCTGAATAGCAGCCTTAGTAATGTTTGTTTATGAGAAGTTACGTCTGGAATTGCTCAAATAGTAGAAAAATTGCTGGGGAGTGAGGGGATTTGAATAAAATTTGGAAATTCTGCCAATGGTCATTGGAAAACCTTGCTCTGAGCGAAAGGAAGCATTATGTGCCTAAGTCATATTTCCAAGGAATTTTGGTCGCATTTTAACTTCCCCTTATATTAGAGATTTTAGGATCCAAAACCTACCCAAGGCTCATGGGTCTGTTTGTTAGATTTTCTTTATACCCTTTCTTTTATGTTTTTTTGGAATGCACATAAAACCCTTCCTCTACAGAGGATTCCATTGCTTTGACCCAATGTTCTATTTTGACATTAAAACAAATTAAATTACTTATTTCCATGCAAAACAAGCCAGAAACCCCTGTTGTGTCATTATTATGATTACAATACTGGTCTGAAAAGCATTCGTTTCTCTTAGGAGTCCAAACAATCCTTGGGCTTTGCGGTTAGGGGGAATATCTCATTGAAGGAAAAAAAAAGAAAATACAAAACAAAACAAAAAAAAAAACAAAGCTCGCCCTCTCTCCTTTCTTTCTTGAGCACTTTTTAGCATGCAACATGTTTAAATGGATTCTAGCTGAACATCTCAGCAGTTATTTTTTAAAAATTCAGCAAACATTGTACTGGAGGGGGAGGCGAAGCCAGCATGAGCCTGAAAACATTGCAGAAATTACAGAACTGGGAAACCACAGTCACAAAAGGATGGACTAAAATACAGCCTCCAAACTTGAGTCCCTCCTTGCTGGCTGCTCCAAAAGCTGGCAGAGCTCCCTCCTCTTCAACGCCTGCTTCATATTGCTCTAGGCAGAAGGTCTGGGGAGATAAACGCAGCTGTCTGTTTATCCAGAGCTCTGCTACTGAATTAAATGGAGCTGTTCCAGATGTCCACCAGAGATGTAACAGAGATCAGACTCTGTCCTTTTCAAATGGAAATGACCTCCTCCCTCGCCCTTCTCCCTGGCTTCCTGCCCTTCATCCCTCCCAAAAAAGCATCCTACACCCCTGACCTCCACCACAGCAAGGCTTCATAATGAAATTAGGGAATCTGTTTACGTAGTGCTGCTTGTTGGCTGATCTTAAAGACTGCTTTGTTTTGCATCATTTATTTTTTCTTTTTGCTCCTGATCTTTTTTTGTCAAAGGAGAAGGTAATGTTTCTTCCACCACATCCATCCAGAACTCGCAGGACCCTAAGCAAAGAAATCTTTAAAAAGGATTTTTGTGGTTTCAGCTGATTCGCTGTTGATATCTACAAGGCTGAAACTGTCAAGGCTGAAACTTCTTGGGCAGGCACCCTATAAAAGGAGAGGAATAGTTCAAAGAAAAGGAGTAGGTATTTGCAGGGAATGATTTATCTCTTCTGAAAATACACATTTGAAATGCCTCAGCAGGAAAAGAATCTGCAAATGTTGCTTTGTCCTCATTGGGATAAAGAGCTGGGATATATATGTCTTCAACAGAGATAATTGAATTTATATCAGGTAGATTCTACTCCTTTAATTTCACATTTTGATATGGAGAAATTGTTGTATAATGGTGCCTACTTATATGGCTTTTATGATTTTAAAATTTGCCCAGATTCTTCTCAAGAATAGTCAACTTCCTAAAGAGTTTCAGGGTAGGATTAATGTACATCTTAAGCTGACAGGCTGAGCTTTGCAAACATAAATTTTCAGCAGTTGCCATCTGATTTAGAAATGTGCACCAGGGTTTTCAAATATAATTAGTGATTTTAGATGCTTTTGTTTTGTGTCAGGCAACTGTAGATAACAGAAAAGAGCCTGATTTCCAGACAGTGGGTAAGAAGGGAGGTACCTTGGCTCTGAACTTTTGTCTTGTTTCAAATATTTCAAGTTGGGCAACCAAAATGAGGTAACTCAAAAATGTTACTTTACATTTGAAAATATCATCCCTTACTCCAGTAGATTTTTGGCAGGGAGAAGATAAGGTTTTGATAGGATTTGCAGATAGAAGGGAAAAAAAGATGTCAATTTGGATGGTTTTGACCTGCCATCTTTACATTTCCTCTTTTCTCACTCATGGTAGCATGCATGCGCTTAATAAATAATAAAATATTGCATTTATAAGTGCAGAGGAAAATGCTAAAAAAGATCACTCGGCTGCTTAGGATTTCTCTTGCATGTACCTGGGTGATGGTGTTTTTCCTGTTCTCCTCACATTTATGCATGTACACAGGCCTCTTTAAAGTCAGGGGTTTTCACTTTTCTATTAACACTACCAGACTGCCATTTAAATGACATAAAATTTGCATTAAGCTCTCATAAAACCAGCAGTGTTTTATTCCCATACATTCTTTCAAACTGTTGTTTGGCACTTAATGATGCACCATGACAACCAGTGCTAGGATTTCTGGCTGTTGTCCCAGGAGGAGGAAACCCTCCATCTCAAAATTTCATGTACAAAATAGGCTTTTTTTTAATGAGAATTCATGTTTTCTGGAAGGGAAGAGAGTGGGGATGAATGAAAGAAAATTTGCACTTTCAAATGTTTTATTGACTCAAGTATCAAAATGCTGTGTAGGACTGGGAATAAGATTTTTTGATCATTATTATTTGTCTAGCTCTAAAAATATACTAAGACTGAAAACATATATATGTACATATATTTACTTAGATTTATATATATAAAGCCTCCTTTAATTTGTTTTTTCTATAAATTAAGATCTAAATGGCTTTATATAGAATAAACTTCTCCAGAAGCCTCTAGTGAATCTGAAGGAAGATTTTAAAAGTACAGGTAGAGATACTTTTTGAATTTTGTTCACTTGCTACTGACCACTTAAAAAACTGATATAGGGGTTGACCCCAGCTCCTCTGTAGGACTTGAACCTTCTCAGATGAATTCTCCGCTGGGACTTGCCCTCCAAAGTCTGGGAAACATTCCACTAGAAACAGTTTCTAGTCCATCTTGGTGTATTAGATATGTCCCAATGTCCTCAAGTCAGAGACAGAAACCTACATTCATATCTGTTAACCCTGATCACCAAATTTAGGAATATCCAGTTCACATCCTCTGAGGCATCGCTGTCTCTCTGTCTCCTCCAGAGATGCTTTGGTAACCAGATTCTTACCTAAGTGTCTCAATGAAAAGTCTGAGATCATTTAGGCCTAAAAAACAGATTTTCAAATGTAGTGTCTGAAGATACAGAAACAGGTGTAGACTTTCTTTTGTTGTGTATTTTTTTTAATATCTAAATTGTTTAGCAACTTAACACAGAAAGGTAGTTGCCACTTTTGGATGAGTCAGGTAAAGATTGTAACAGAAACTATATCACAAAGAGACTAAGGAGTTACCACATTTGGAATCCAAATAAAGTAGTTTAAGTACAAGATCAAGCTCCATCTCTCTTCCTCCTCAGAAACTGTACTAATTTTATTTAGTACTTTGTCATAGCTTCGGCTTTTTCTTTCCCTCTCTTTCCCCACCCCATTCTTTCATTCACAATTGCAGCTGCTGGGACATGAATGACAACACTGCCTTATGGTGGGTGATCAAAGGTCCTGTGGTTGGATCAATCATGGTAAGTAGCACTCAGAGGAGACATTTCTTCAACACTTCTGAGGGGGAAGGTAGGATCAGTTTCTGAAAGCTTTACACGCTATGATGTCCACTATTTCCCTTGCAAAATGTCAGGCAATTCCATTCCTATGAACTAAAATATGGAATTGCAATTGCTTTAGCACTCAAACAAGGAATTATCCAAGTCCTTAAACACAGGCACAAATGCCATAAGTAAGACCGTAGGGCATCCAGGGCCTTTGCATGGTTTTGGCAAATATGACCTGGAATATGTGGGAGTCCTGTGTCCTGCTGGCAGTTGAAGGTCAGATGGGATACCTCAGGATATCTAGACTGATACTAGATGCTAGCATCTGGGAAAACAAACTGCATCTTTTAGACGGAATTCATTTGGCAGCTAAGTTTGTTTTCAGTTAGATTAGATTTAATATAGTAGTGTTGACCCAGTAGAAGGTGTTCATCTATCAGTGAGCATCTAAGCTTTCTTCAGTTACAGTAAGCCTTGGATTTGATTCAAATGACTCTCGATACCTGTGTATGGAAATCAGAGATGCTCTAAGGTACCCTGCTTTAAGCTGGCCTTAAGTTGCTGCCCCCCAAAAATATGGGAATTTCAAAGTTATGATGTTCCTCTTTTTAGAAAATTAAATTGCTCTCTTTGTCAACATGGTTAGTGCCCATCTAAAAAGTTGTTTGGCTTATTACATAAAGGTACACTATAGGTTCTGGGCACACTATATTGTTCTGGAATCAGGAACCCGGATGACTGATATATCTATTTGTCTATAAAGATATATATATATGTATATATATATATATGTCTTCATCAAGTGTGCTGCTTCTCTTAAGGACTTGGGCATCTCTTTAAAGACCAATTATCTTTACTTCATAGAAATCAAATATCAGAGTGATCAAGCAAGGCGATCATGGGCTTCTCCCAACATTTGTAGTCTTCTGATCCAGCAAGAAAATTCTTCTGATAGAGATGTTGACTGTGATAGAAGTGCTTTAGTTTACGGGTCTCCTTACAGGATTAAAAGCTTGCATTTCTGTGTTTTGTAAGAGACCAGCTTAACATCTGTTGTGTTTTCTTCTGTAAGAAATTATGGAGTTGGTGACAGCTAATATTGAAGTCAAAGTATATATATATATATAGATAGATAGATAGATAGATTTAATTCTTCATGTCCAAAACTTTAACACTGTGCCTGTATTGAGACGAGCTTATGAAGGAGCAGATGCCCAGGATGAGATAAAACAAGAAGTGCATGCAACCAGATGAACCCTTCCTGTTTTGGCTTGTCAAAGGGAGATATTTTTGCCTGGAAAGGGGACAATATGTCTTTTGTAATGTTATCCCATTACTCCTCACCTTATGGAGCTCCTAGGGTGAAGTTTGGAGAAGAATAAGGAAATAGAGCCAAAAAGTCACTGTGAATGTCTCCCTCTCTTTTTTTTTTTATTTAAAATATAGATAGATAGATAGCCTTGTCAACATATTTTTTTTTTCTTTTTTTTCCCTAGATAAACTTTGTGCTTTTTATTGGCATAATTGTGATACTTGTGCAGAAACTTCAGTCACCTGATATTGGGGGCAATGAATCCAGCATTTACTTGTAAGTATAACTAAAACAGTGATCAGTTCAGATTTCTAATATACACATAGGAAAAAAAATTCCCCCAAAAGACACCTTGACTGAGTTCATTTGACATTTGGAAGAGTCACAGGACCTATTGATGTGCTTTGGCTGAATTTTCTTTTTCTTTTTTTTTAACGCAACAGCCATAAAAATCATCTTACTGTCGGCTTTTATCTTTCTTTGAAGAAACTGGAAAAATGGGATAAATATAAGATAAAATATGAATACTAATTTACAGGCCAGTGGTCTGGAAATTAACATACTGATCAGACTTAAATATTGTATTCATAGGACAGTCTGCTGTGCTTCATACGTTCAAAGGACATGATCCAAAGTTCAGTGGAAGTTAAAGGATTTGATGAAAGGATTTCATGAACTTTGGACCAGAATGTAATTTAGGAAGATCTCCTGAAGTTACATATGTTCCTGTTTCTGATAATTTTGAATTCATTCAACATAAAATAAATGTCCTCCACATTTCTGGAATTGCTTAAAACCTTACAACAAATCTTTAAATTTTCCAATTGAAGTTTTAAAGCTTTGTTTGTGATTTGCTTCTCCACTTTTTTTAAAACTGATGACCTTTTAATTAGTTTTCACCTCACTGTAAGACTGAGGTTGGCAGCTTGAGAATATTGTCATTCACACCTGCATGCATTAATTCTGCACTTAGAATAATTTTATTATTATTTCTCTAGCTAATATAGTTATTAAAATAGTTGCAGGACATTTTAGTGTTTACTTGGCTTTGCAACCTAAACACAACACACATTTGCTTTGCTATTTTTAATATGAAACCTCAATTAAAAACAAAATATATCAGGGCAAAGTAGGAGGCCCTAATTTTTTAGGGTTAGTTTTTAAAATGATTAAGCTGGGAATGGGTTCCACTCTCTTATATCCATAGTATAATTTGGCATTCATTCTAAATGGCCGTTTTCAGGTAAAAGTCTGTCCTCCAGCTGCCTATTTTTCCACTCCTTTCTTTGGTAGTGTCTCATTTATATTCACCTGAAGCAAGAACATTTTTCTGCATCGCTGTTTTTCTCTCCACAATCCTGAAAGTATTTCCCTTGAAACTTGCTTAAACTGTGTTTCCACAGACACAGATAATTCTTTAAATTCATTCTATAGGTGGACATTTCTCAAAATGCACAGGAGAAAGCTCAGGAGAATATCCCATGCATGCTTTGCCTGTGGTTTGCATGAAGACTTCCCATGTAGGAGCTTCTGGGAAGTCACCCCCTGGACTTTAGATTGTGATTAACCCCCAAGATGTGCAGAGCTACTTCTTATTACAGCCTGCAAAGTGCATGTTTGGTTCTGCATATCTGTCACATATGAAGCAAAGCATGCCTCAAATTCCAACGATCTGATGAGGCTAGAAAGCATCCTTGCCATTTTTTATCAATATGGTGACTGAGTTTTACTGTCATTTTTCCTATGTGTATAGTTAGCAACAAAAGCCAAAAGAAAACATCATATTTTCTGTTTCATTTGCTGCCATTATTTTTCATATTTCTTTGCAACTTTGCAAATGGGTGTGTATAAATTGATCTTGCATTTATGTATGTGTTATGAAGTGGAGTGTTGTTTATCCAAACAGACTCAGCAACGAAAATGTTACATTGAAGCTGTATAATAAAAACAAGTGGAAAGAGTAAGTCTGTTCAGACATACACTAGGCATAAGAAGTATTTATGTACACATATTCTGTAAAAAAGAGAGCTATTAGAACACAGGAAGAAATTAGATCACAGGATGGTTATGTCACCATATTGAAAACTCCATGGAACTTAGGCTATGGCCCATATTAACCATTTTCTATATCCTAATTTCCTGTTTCTAAATATGAAATGCTTGCAGGTCATTTATTTATCATACAAACATGCAGAATACAGATCAGATGGGTCTTGCTTAATTGACAGATAAACCCTGAACAGGGTGCATTCTAATAACTACTTGTTTGAGCCTTATCTCTTCATGATAACAGACTGTTCTGAAAATCCTGTTGTTAAATTCAAAGGTGCCAAGTAAATGATAATGTCTCGCTATTCTCAGCTTGAAACCACAAGCCATTATTGGCAAGAAAAACTCAAAAAGAAACAAAGCTTTGCAGCAAATTGCTTGTCCCAGCAGTATCCAGCTGAACGCTAAAGAATTCAGGTGTATCACAGTCATAATAATAATAATAAAAGAAGCAGTTTGATCCATTCAAGTCATACCATCATACCAAAATCTTAATCAAGGTCTTTATTCCATGAGAAATTTAAATACTTCACCATTAGAACATGAGACAAAGCAGTCACAGTTCAGAAAAGATGCTCAGCCTGTTTCCAAAAGCAATATCATATGATCTCTGCATTAATTATTGTGGTTTACACCAGTAGAAGTCTCTAGAACAACCCTTTATTTGGACTTTGTTTCACTGTGTCTGAGTGTCCGCCACCAAATGATTGTTTGATTCACTGAATGCAAAATACAAAGTCTTAAAGGATAACTTTAAACTTTGTGCAGGTGTTTAATCTGCACCAGCTGAATTTCAATCATGGAGTTAAAAGATATTCACATTATTCTTTGCTGTTTCTTTGGTGTGAGGGTACCACCTGCACGTCAGATGGTAATAAACTGGAATGTGAGTTTTATGATTTAGTCGTGATTTTGTGTCTGTGTGTTCATCAGATGAGAAGGAGGCACAGGGTGAAATATTTTATGCCCTCAGAGACTCTTAACACTTGAAATTCATAACGATATGTTGCAATGTGATTCCTGATGCATTGCCTACACAAAGTCTACAACCAGGTTACGAATTCGTGTAGCAGTGGTTAAAACCCACTTGTGTAGTCTGCTGTACAAGCAATACTCTTTCTAAAATTGTGCCTAGAGCCTGTAACCAAAGAATTCCAGTTTTAAAAAATCAAGAAAATCAAGAAAATAAAGTAAAAAAAACACAGGCACAAAAGCTTGGTTATTGATTTTGGAGAGGATTTATTTTCTCCATATCTGCATAGTAGGCTGTTAGGTACAGGCCCTTTTACTGATGAATGTCATTAGGAAAATCTGTATATCATTCTGTTTTGTAGGCAGTATAGTCATGATTCTGCAACTCCCTTAAGGCTATATTTGACTTTACAAGCCTTAGGGATATGCTTAAATTCAAAGATGTGTTATATATGGTTACCAATATTAACAGTTCCCACTAACAAAGTTAGCTGCAAGCTACAACAGGAATACAGCCCAGGAGCATACAGCTGGGGAGCTGATGCTCAGTTAGTGTCCACTAAAGACTGTAAGATTAGATTTTTTGTTAATAAAAATAGTGTAGAATCAGCAGCACAATGATGAGAGTTTTCTTCCCATTTAAAAAATAAATAAAAAATCAGACATTTTCTCTAAATAACCTCCTTGATGATCATTATAGGTAATAGCCTTTGCCTCTATTGCCTTGGAAATATTTAGCTAATTCCTAATGATTTCCTATAGCAGTCGTGATTACTAACTTCCGTTTTACCAGCCCGTTTGTGCAGTCATTCATTACCGGTCTCATGCTTAAGCAATCTTTCATCACACATTTAGTTCTCCCTCAAAAGTACCTGCATGCTGCTCATCCCATTTCATATCGAATGGCTCAAAATGTGGCAGATCCTAGGAAAGCAATAACTCTCTGGCTGTTTTAGATAGAAATTCTTCCTTTTGCCTGAAATCACTGGGGTCAGATTCATCAAAATTACCTAAGATTTCAAGGTGGGATTTACAAAGAAGAAAAAGAAAGTAAAAGCCATCTTTTAAAACTTTAAACCTTTTTTTTTTTTTCATTTCTATCTATTTTTTTCCCTGAGAATTTCAAACAGCTTTTGTCCTTCCTCACAATAGTTATCACAATCATTACTTACTCCTTAGAGCTAGCAGTGAATGGTGAAGGGCGTACATTTTTTTTCCTTGAACCATGTTCTCTTCTCAGTTAATCTTGTGTCAGCCCTGGATAATCCCACTGATTTAAGAATCAATACAAAGCCAACCTGCTAGTGCAAATGCGGCAGATTTTAGTCTGAATGAGAAACTCTGAGATCCTCAGGTGAAAGTTGCTTGTGAAGATTAAAGTGATATTGATATTATTCCCATTGTGGTTATGATAATTAACTGCATAGTCCAGACACGTTTGCTGCCTCAGTGAATGAATTATAGAAGCATTTTCATTCTCTCTTAGTTACACCTATGACATACTTGGTCCTATAGTACAAACAACAACAGATTTTACTCAACATGCTTTCAGATCAAATGCATGTTCTCCCTCATTCTTAGAAATCTCTAGATGTGCAGTGTGTAAACACTTTGAACAAACTGAAGATTGTTCAGGGCCTCTGTCACACCATAGGTTGAAAGCACCTAGCAGAAGTCCCTAAATCCAAAGTACATCCCCAGTTCTGTGAGTGGGAAAAGCACATTCACAAAACTACCATGGATGGCTCTGTAGACATCATGTCACATCAAACCCAAATTATTTTGCACGTGCTTTCGTGCATCACTTCTTGAAGTGGAGCTGAAATAAATATTAATAACTAATAAATTAGTAAAGGAAGTTTATCCTCCAAAATATCATTACATTTCCTGTGAGAAACCCAACCAATTGTATGTCACATGACATGTCTGAATCTGCTTTCAGGCATCCTGGTTTTAGTTAAGCTGTTGTAGAGCGAATACATTCACTCAGAAAAGTCATATTCTTGTAGAAATGCCTACATAAAGTCCAGGCTGTTAGTTTCACAAGCATTGCTGATTTCCTGAAAGTCTCATTGCAGACAGAAGAGCACCTAAGGTTGTCCCTACCTTAAATCACTACAGTAAATATGACAGTAGGTATGCATGGTGTAGATGCATGCTGGAATAATCCTTAAAACAAACAAATAAAAAAGATGCACACATCTCCATCAAGCCTTTGCTTATTCTTCCATTATCAAGGATCAAAGCATATTTGA